TACATTGAAATAGCTGAGAAAAAGTATGGAAGCTGGTAGATGGTAGATAAACTACTTAGAACACCTGTTTTTATGAAAGAAAGCATAAATCTGAGCCACATCACACTGCTGCACTGCACTGCACATCCATCTTCAAACAAGGCTTTTTCAGGATTCAGTGCCTATGTCCTTCATATCTACTGTACTTTTCATATCTATATATAACAAAAAAGCCAAAAACAAAATATATTTTATTTATATGTGGAATTTTGGTAATTTATGCTATTTTAAAATACTTCATAGTATGTGCCTCGGTATATATTAGATCACTTAATCTTTTATTATAAGGCTGGATTATAATATTTTAAAAAATATTTCCAGTCATTAATTGTGATTATGCTGATATGTTTTGCTTTTATGATTATGCTTTTTGTGCATCAGGATATTTTAAAGCACCGCAAAGACATCTAATAGAGTCAATTTCACAGTGACTAAAATTGTGCCACGAGTTTTGGATGAGCCGATACATTTACCTCAGGGCCTTTCAAGGAATAATCTGACTAACTCTCCTTAATGTTTTTTGTATCGTACTTGTGAAAATTTTCTATTAATCATCATGTGGATTTGTCTTTACAAAAGTTTTTTAAAAGAGGAACTGAAGCAATTGCCATCATTATTACATAATCACCTAAATGTAATGTTCTTATATAACATACACAATTAAGAATTTGCATAAAAGGAATCAATAGAAATTTGCATAGAAGCAATCACATTTTTAAAACACTTTTTTTTTTTTAAGTCTGCCAGTGTTTCTTTCTTTCTTTCTTTAAAAAAAATAGTATTACCACTTTTTTATTTATGATCATAGCCACAATTCTTGCAATCTCAGCTCCAACCAAGCTTTTAGTGACACTCTGTGATATAGAACAAGTATAAAATGATCTAGCAAAGTGCAACATCAGAAAGTTACATTCCGAATTACCCAAGGCAGAATTGCGCCATGATATTTATAGGCTAATTCATTATGACCTCATGTGAAATCCACGAACAATTATGTGTCTCTCTTTAATTTTGAAACCTGAGCACTAAATCCAAACTAACTCTAGCAAATAAGACATTTATAGGCACTGGCCAAAGAGTAGAAAATTGCATGGTAATGATCCATCAATGGAGCAGGTGCCAGGCATTTTGTGCACCAAAAGTCAGCTCCTTTTCAAAAATATTTCACAATACTGCCAATACTCCTCTCAGCTGAATTAAACACCCCAAAGTACAGTAAATTTCTCCCTAAAATTAAATTGGGTCTATAGTAGCCTGGATTATGCCCTGTACAGAAATGCATTGATTTCACTATGTATCAATCGATGACACAATTATGAGAGCAAAGTGAAAAATATGTCCCTGTCATTCACATAAATAGATTTCAGAAGATGTATAACAGCCATAAACCATCATTTTTATACATAATTTGATGCTTTATCAGTTAATTATGTGGAAAAAATGTAAAACTTCTTGCATGTGGTCAACTAATAATTGCTGATAAAAGTGGATAAAATAGTTACTGATAAATTAAACTCTAATAAGATTATCTAGATTATTTAGATATCTAATAAGATATCTAAATATCTAATAAGAAAGTTCACCTTGAAAATGAAAATATTCTCAGTTACACCCTCACGTCGTTCAAAACTTGAATGAATTTCTTTCAAATGAAGATATAACACAGAAGAAAGTATTTTAATTACAGGTTTGGAAGGACATGAGGATGAGTAAATGAGTAAACTATCCGTTTAATGCTAAATTACTAATAATCAGCTAACAGATTCGTGCAAAGTGACCTGAGTAAATTGATGTGAATTTAAAGTGTTTCTTCCTTCAGTCAGCCTACCTGAGTTGTGCGCGGTTCAGGCACCTGTCCTGAGCAGATCTGCTGAAACTGAAGGCGGCTATATTCTCCTATCGCCTGCTTCTGTTTGTTTCCTAAGAGGATGCTGTTGCTCGGTCGTCTTATAGAGACACACCCCTCCCTGTGGTCCAACCCCTAACCCCCTGTTTTACAAGTGTGTGCGTGTGTGTGTGTGCGCGAGAGTGGGATGAGAGAGAGAGAGAGAGAGAGAGAGAGAGAGAGAAAGGACACAGGAGAAGACTGTCTTATGTATTGGGATGGGTGGACGTCAAGACTTATCTTCTACGTCAAGGATTGCAGTCACAAAGAAGAAACTAGAAAACTAAAAATACAAGCACACATTTTCCAAGAATACCCATACACTAATTCCAGTGTGTCCTCTGTCCACTCATCCTCTGATGAAGTGATGCTCCAAGACAATAATGATGCTTTGAGAGCTGTGTGCAAAAAGCGTGACCATTGGCATTGCAATGGATTAAACTTCAATCTGTGCTGTTTTCAATATCTCGTTTGCAGTCTGAAAGTTGAAATGAATATCGATCAAGCAATAAAATTAAATTATGAATTTAAGAGCAATCAATGGGAATTAGAAACGTTAAACCAAACATCTTGAGAGACAGCGCCAAAGAAAAGAAAATATTTTATTGCTCATAGGTTGGTCTTTTATATACTGTAAAAGTTGAAAAGAAAACAAAGATTATATTAAAATACTATTTGTGTCTTTTTACTTCAAAATTTCACATTCACCCAGAAATGGAAATTCTGTCATTAATTAATTACCCTCATGTTTTCCCAAACCTGTAAGACGTTTGCAGCGTCAGAAAGCTCTTGGATTTCATCAGAAATGTCTTAATTTGTGTTTTAAAGATGAACGAAGGTATTACGGGTTTGGAACGACATGAGGGCGAGTAATTAATGACAGAATTTGTGGGTGAACTATCCCTTTAATGCAATGTGTTACTTGCTGTTTCTTTGTGAAATATACTAGGCATTTTTCTGTGTAGCTAGTTGATTTATAAAAGCTGGTTGCTTTTATTTGAATCTTGTAAGTTCATATTCTTGGCAGATTTGAAGTCAGTTTAAGACATTTTAAAACACTATAGAGACACATGAGATAATAGGGCTATGAGTTTTCTTTGGGAAGTTTCTCTGTAATTTATCAGTTTGTTTGAGACTGTTTTTATAGAACAATTAAAATGAATGATGTCAGAATTGATTGACAGAAAGTGAAATACAATATAAAGAATCTAGAGTTGTAATATTCAAATCAGAGTGTTTTAAAATTCTTTCTGTTGTCCAATCATAATAATTTACTGTTAATTTTAGATTTATTCTAATTTCAGAATAAATGGTTGTAGTCAAACAGGCATCTAGAAAACTACTCCATCTAGCAGGGAATGTTCTCAGAACTTTTGCTAAGGAAATCTGGCAAAGTTCTCTCCAAGTTTTAAACAAACATTGTTCCAGTAACGCTAATGGAACATTCATTCAGTCATTTTATAATGTTCCCAAAATTCTCCCCTCAAATCAATTTTTACAACCTTCACTGAACATTTTTTTTTCTTAGTTGGAAATTCATAAGAAAAGTTGCGTTCACACAAGAAAAATATTTTTAAAAGCTAGTCATTCTGAACTGAGAATATTCAGAAATAGCATTATCATAACATAATGGGAACATTAGTAAAACACTCCTAGGACATATTTTTGTTAGCTGGGGCTGTACTAAACATAACATTCCCTGAACAAGTTCTGAAAAATCAATCTCTAAGACATCTCAATTTTTGAGTACTGACAGTCACACCAGTGAGGTGAGAAATTCACAGCGCTCAGAGTCAGAACATGTCTGACGATGAGTGTGTGTTTTTACATGAAATAGCCCATAGATAAATGTGCCTGACGGATAGCGAAAGCTCCTTTGCATAGTCTCACAATGAATGGCAGTTTTAAAATAAAACCATTTCATGGTGATGAAACCAAATCCAAAATACAATGTAAGGACTCGAAAGCATTGAGATTGCTTTTCTAGCGGTGAGCCGCTTGTGAATTGAAACCCAGTCTTGTCTGGCAAGTCCAAAACAGCCAAATCAGAACAGGCCAGCATTCTGTCTACAGGTGAAGGGACCAGAAAATTGGCCTTCCCAGCTGTGGGCTCCACAGTTGCTTAAGCCAGATCTTATAAAGTGAGTTTAAACAGTCATGTGTTTGTCCTTGGGCGGGTATATAGAAAACCTCTGATTATGGTGATGGTAAAAACAGCCTCAGGGCTTCTGGCCCAAATGATGTATCATTGTAGCTCTCAGCTGGGTGGCATGGAGGAGGAGATCTGATAAGTGTGTTACAGGATGAGTTGTGTTCGCTCATCTGGCTGCAGCGAGTCACCATGCTGTGGAAATGGGGCCAGAGAAGAAACTCGTGCTGAGAGAGCAGAAAGCATTTTGTGAGATATTTTGGGTGTCAGCTCTAGGGTGACTCTGCCATGGGTAGAATTGTTAGTCTGCATCTGCGCTGGTTGCTGATTATTGTTCTATGGACTCGGGGCATGATGCGTGCAAGAAAATGATGCGTGCATATTACAGAAGTCTGAGTCCCACGCAATGCAGTGAATAACAAAGTAAAGCCTTCAAAAAGAAGGCTAATCTCCATCCTAATTTAACAATTTCTTTTCTTCAGTGATCTGATAATTAATGTCTCCACTTGGCACCTTTTATGAATTAGTGCCAGAAAAATAATGCATTTTCAGTGAAATTTCAGTGCCAGAATGGGTAAGACAGCATGCAAGTCTATTGTAATTTATCACAGATATTGATAAACATATGTCTTAGAATTAAAGAAAAATAATTAATACATTCGTTTTTATGCAATCATATTAGTAACCAAGATGAATGACTGTGCTTAAGTCAACACAACATTCAGAGTACCATCAATGTGTACAATTTTTAAATATTTACTTGTCTTTGTCATGTTGAAGAAGAAATGATGATTACAAAATTATTTTTTGTAATTTGGGGGTGGAAATAATGTGGTAATGCAATTGAATGCAACATGTGAAAGAGTTAAATATTATGTTTTTGGTAATTAAAATAATTAAACAAGCATGTGAATATGAGTTTAATAGATTTTATTTGTTTGATACAGACACAGGCCCAAATTGCCAGTTTTCATGGGGGACATCTTATGTGTTTAAAACTAGTTACTTTCCATGCTAGGTTAATTTGAATTTTCTAGATAGTAGTTTATCACCAATATCTAATAGTCTCAAGACAAAAAAGAAAAAAAAAAAAGATAATGAGACACCAAAGTGTAACATATTCATGAAAGTATCACAACGTAACTTTCCCTTAATGTTGATGATATTACAAACTTGTGTCTGAGGACTCAATCTCTCAATTTGTTGATTCAACTCTGGAAATGTCACAACTGTGCAATTTCAGAGACCCTCCCAAGGGTCCTTCTACAGCTGTATTTCCTTCCTGGCATCATCAGCTTGATTGTAAATTTAACATTTCCGAGTTGAGTCAATCAAAATTAGAGTTATTGATAAGAATGCATCACAACAATGAATGCAATCAATCAAAAACCTTAGAAATCCCCAGTATCATTAAAAACACGAGAGAGAACAGAGATGTATCATACACAATCAGTTTGATTAATAGAGCTGCACTGCACTGCTAGAATCCCACAGGATTGGTCCTATATGACGTAAACAGATTACTTTGTATTTTTTTACTTCTGAGAAGAGATAAAGATGCGCTAAACGTTTTTATGGAGCTTCAAACCAAATATAACAAAGTTAAACTGGAACCTAACAAGTCTGCATGTGCACACAATAATACATCTAAAAAAACTTCTGCTCAGAATCATGAACTCTTCAGATTAGCTCCGTAAAATAACCAAGACTATTTCAGCAAGTAGGAATTTTTTTTTTGCCATATTATTTTTATTCGTTTTATAACAACAACAAACAAACAACATGACCCCCCCCCCCCCCCCCCCCAAAAATGTAAGTGCATGACCCCCCCCGATATAAAAAACAAGTGGGCCCCCCCAAAGTCCACGGTATAGTTCGAACACTGACAACAACAAATAATCAACATGACCCCCCCACACAAAAAAAAAAGCCAGACGAATTTATAAATGACAAAAATGCCTAAATAAAATACATAAAATGAATATAGATCATGCAAGGACAGGGACAAAAAAATCACCACAAAAATCATAATCAGCAAGTGGGATTTAAATGACATATTTTCTTAACGAATACTCGCCGAACAATAAACATTTGGTTAACAAGATTTATACGCCTTTGCAGTAATTTTTTTCCTTTGTTGAGTTGGTTTGTTAAGTCATAGAAAATACCTGTAACTGCAAATAGCATACTTAAAAATAATAGATGCAAATTAATCCGCATCAGTTTTCTGAAAATGTACATTTTCTGCCTAAAAATGTTTACCAGATGATACTAGAACATAATTAACTTAAGTGTTCTTCAGTGGTTCAATTGTTTCTGTGTGCGCAACTGGTAGAAAATGGTGCCAGCAACATCAGCGTGATGGGTTTTAAAAAATACTGTAAAAATGTGCAGCTTGAATGCATGTTTGTATAAAAGCATCTTATACAAAGCAAATTACTGAAACGTTTTGCAAATGCAAATCCCACAACATTTTCTGTGTATTATCCATGCCTTTCATATTTAAATGATGTTATTTGTGGAATCAGACAAGTTTGTCTTTGAGTGTCTAGACCAGCTATTTTTAGGATGCAGGAATGCAATGGAACTATTAGAAAGTTCAAGACAGCTCCAATTTGCCCTTGTCACTTAGCATAGCTAAAGTATAAGAACGTCATATCAATTTCTATCGCCAAGGGCAAACTGCAAAAGAGTAAAATGGTTTTGGAGTGGTTGTCAATCAAAGAGTACGAGCTTCATGTTGAAACTTAATTGAAAAATTCATCTCATGATATTTATGTAGGGTGCCATTGCCAAAGGGCATTTGCAGCATCTTTAAGAAGCCAACAAATGAAAAACATTGCTTAAGTATTTATGGTCACATAGTTCCTCAATTAAGAAAAATAACATCTATTATGCTTGCCACAAACTTACTAGCTATTTAACAAGATGTCAAAAACATGTTTTCCAACATGAGAGTAAATAGTGGGACTATACTGTGGTCAAACATTAAATCCTTTTTCCCATGGTCATATTCAGTCCATACATATGGGTTTCTGGACACTCTGACCAAATAAACCCCTGTACATTTACACAGGAAAGTGACCATGTTGATGGTTAATGACCATGCTTAGTGCCTTAGAAACTGAGAGACCGTAAGAGCTTGAGATCGGGGCAACAGCATGTGCACTAAAGCCGGCTCCAGACGGAAGGCTAACATTGGTTGACTTGCGCTTTGCACTAAACAGGCTGCCACCAGCAGGCATTAGATGGCTACTTACTGTGATTCACCACAGCAGACATCATCAGAATATATTACCAGCTGATTATTTCATCACTGCTCAATAAAGAAGTTGGGTTACTGTATATTTGGACTCTACATGGCCTTAGGGTACTACTGACTCATCAGGCTGACTAATAAATCCCTATTGTATAGGAACTTCAAAATGATTTATAATATAAACATTCAGCATAAAATAATACTGTACACTTTTAAAAAATAACGTTTCCAAAAGGGTTTTTTTCAGTGATGCTATAAGAACCATTTTGGTTTCCCAAAAGAACCTTTCAGTGAACACTTCTTAAAGGAGACCTGTTATGCCCCTTTTTACACTGTAAAAAAATTCCATAAAATTTACGGTAAAAAAACGGCAGCTGTGGTTGCCGGAATTTTGCCATAAAAAATACGGTAGCAACTTTTTAGGTTTTATGGTTTTAACTTAAATTTATAGTTAAATACCGTAATTTCATTAACTGATATAATGTTAATATACCAACCTATTGAAGTACTGAAATATGTTTTGTACCTTTGTAATACACTGATAACCACCAAATGCAGGAGGTGATGAGAAAGTCACATGATGAACCAAAGCCCATCACAAGCAGCTTTTAAATAATAACATATAAAGAAGGTGCACAGTGTCATTCACACAAACACTAAACCCCATCATGGTAACACACATGAAACTGAAATAATGCAATAAACATTGATTTAACAACATTAGGTGTAACACACAACCCTAACATACAAAACTGAAAAAAACCAAGAAGAAACATAGTTATTTCAACAACAAAAAACATCAAATTTGAAATGTAATGCATGGAATTCTGGGAATGTCAATTTAAATGGTCTTACCGTTAACCGTATAACATGTTTTTACTGTAGCATTTTTACAGTCTTTTACTTTTACAGTGTACATTACTTAAGTCTCAGGTGTCCCCAGAATGTGTCTGTGAAGTTTCAGCTCAAAATACCCCACATATAATTTATTATATCATTTTGAAAATGCCTATTTTTCCACTATAAAGAACCTTCTGTGCAATAGAAAGGTTCTATGGATGTTAAAGTTCTTCATAGAACCATAGATGCTGATAAAGAACCTTTATTTTTAATATGAAACTTGTTAGTTTGAATCTGTATTGGTCGCTGATTATTGTGCAATAATGGTGCCAGATATTGAGGTGATTGCCAAGATGCTGCTATGCATTTGCTCAGGTCTTCTTGGTAGTTGCTAATAGTGTTGTCAAAAGTACTGATGGTCGGTAGCAGTTGGTACTGCTATAGTAATCTGGGTGGTTGCTTGATGGTTTATTTCTCACAAGAACCCTGCTCCAAGTCGCCACGATATTCTGGTCTATAGATCTCTCTCAAGTCTCTCCTTCAGTGTAAGTCTATGGGATTTGTTCATCTGTTTTATCATCTATTGGTGAAAATCATAAGCCTGAATTCTTAGAAAAGTAATAATAACACACCTCTCCGCAATATGCTGCACGATTTAAGCCTGCAAACGGCAAGAGCTGAATTACAAGCTAAAGTTGAATACTTGGGGTTAGAGGTTTTGTGAAAATATTGATGCTTGCTGTAGGAAACACTTTTAAATAAAAGGGAATTTGTCACATTGACAAGTAACGTATTGATTAATAAGATTACATGATCTGTTACATATAATGAAACGGTGTACTAATGTTGTCAAACTAAGCATTTATGAAATCACCTGATGGCAGAAAGGTACACATTAAATTAATCATACAACGTCACAGCAGACTGTTGTCAACAGATGATACATCATGGAAGGCAGCCATACTCATTGTCTCAAAATCTCCTTGAAAATGAATCACCATTGTGCAACAAAACCACACACTTGTTTAGTCAGAGACCGTTTCTGCCAAATGAATGTGACTGTGTTCTGCCTGTAGGAGCCAAAACAGATGCTGCCAGACGTGAGGAGAACTTGAGGTTTGGTTAGACCACGTTTTTGAGACCGTTCAATCTTTTATGCATGTTCTGCAGGTAGTTGTAGTTGATTTTATCCTTTAGAATTTCAATATTTCATTTCTTATTTATATATTTACAAATTTTGTCTTGTTCAAATGTTTACATAGCCTTAGTTCTTAATATTTTTTACTTTTTTTTTTTTTTTTAAGTGGATCTTATTCATTCTGCAAGCAGTATGTAAACTTATAAACACTAGATGGTGTAAATTAATGCATTCATTTGACGGTCAAGCCATGAAAAATCCCTTTCATTATTTCAGTCATTTTAGCCGCTAATTAAATAGTCATTAGGAGTTGCAGCTCATTTATGATTACCCTGAGGAGGAATGACAGAGAGTCTTTGCTGGCTCCAGGCTATATTAAAAAAAATAGCAATAACTAAGTCAGTTATTTTCTTTTTTCCAGTTTAGTGCACAGTACAATATATCAACACGAATATCATCATTGCTTTAGTTCATTTGAAGAATTTGATTAGCATTTAATAATGCTGTGACTATAAGAAAACTCTTTGCCAAGCTCTGCGATGCAGTAATTATAACAGTAAACGAGCAATTATATATTTTTATGTGTGTTTCCCCATAATCCACTGTGAAAGGATGCGGAAACACTGGGGTTTGGAACATTTCGAAGATAAGTAGCTTATCTCTCTTTTTGCAGGTGTTTGAGACTGCAATCCAATCAGGGAATTTCAGAAGGAATTCATTGACTCTTGAACTCTTGTAGATCCAGTATGTTTGTGAAAAAAATAAAAATCATTTTATCTTTTTTGAAACATCTAATATGGCAAGCTACTGGCAGGTGGCCACTTCAGTGTTGAGTAAAGATGTCTTGCATGAGAATGTAATTTGTGTAGTATGAGAATGAGTATGTGTTATGGCTATATTATATTCTGAATGGAATAGTATCTACTTAATGGATACTGTGCAGTTTTGTACTCTGCCTACAATTTTCTTTACAAATTATTAGATGACCTTATCACATTGCATGTTTTATTCAGCAAGTGTGCTTATCTCAGAAACAGAAATGTTTATTTTGCATTTTAATCCAATTTATGTAAAACTCTTGGCAGTCCAGTGAGGCAGTGAATCAAGAAAATTATCTCAAATTCCATTGTGGTGTAGACTATCATGATCTGCACTTTTTTTTTTTTTGGCTGGTTTGTCTGGTTAACATGATTCAGTTAGCCCTAGCTGGTAGATAGTCCACCAACCCACCATTCTGAGGGCAAAAAGCATTTTCTCTGTTCAGAATTAATCAATATTCTTTTTATTTAGTTTACATATATATTTTTTATATTTTATCATATATTATATTTGATGTATTTTTTCCTAAATATCGCATTTCATCATACTATAGTAGATGTTTTACCAGTAACTGATTATTCATTCATTCCTTCATTCCTTCATTCCTTCATTCAAAAGCAGGGCTCTTTAAAGCATGAAATGGACTGCTTTTTCCCTGTTTCAATGTCTGCTCCATTGATGTTTTTATGGTTTGCCAAAATGTTTTCCTGCAGCTCCAGAGTGATTAATCACATGGCTTTTACAGCTCAGTTGATTTGCTTAAAAAAGGTCAATATCAATAAACAAGCACCCATGAACATACAGTGGGTACGGAAAGTATTCAGACCCCCTTAAATTTTTCACTCTGTTATATTTCAGCCATTTGCTAAAATCATTTAAGTAAATTTTTTTCCTCATTAATTAATAGCAGAAATTGTAAGAGTAGTGTGCTGTTCAATATGATTTTAAGATTTGCACTTTCATAATGTCCAAATAAAAATATTTAGAAGCAGGGGCGAAATTGGGGGGAATAGATCTGCTATGCTGTTGCTACTGCAGCAGAGCAAGTACAGAGACTTGATAATGCCAGTGCATCCACAACATGCTGCTGTGATCATTAGGGTTGGATATCGTTTTTTTTTTTTTGATACTGTGAACAGTTAAAGTAGAAGACCATGAAAGTTTTATCATAGAATGCAAAATGTTTCAATACAAGCATTTCAGTCAAATGTAATTTATGCAATATTTCAAACCTTTAACCCACTTGGGAAAATCAACCCATGGCAAGAGTTTAAAAGTAGCCCAATTCTGTGGAAAAAACGCGGATTTGGCAACCGTGAATCCAACAAGAGCTGCAGGAGTCTGATTGATCACAGGTCGAGAATAAGGAGAGATGACTGACAAGACCATGCTGGAGTATATGCTCAACAGATCCTGAGCTCATTGACAAATATCTGATCTTGTAAGATGTGCTCCCTTTACACAGAGTGCGTGTGATTGCGAAATCGAAAGTGAAAGTAAACAGCGCAAACGCTCATTCAAAAATATTTCAACACCGCATCCTGAGAGAGGCTCCCTGATGCACCAAAATTATATACAATATTAGAATGTTTAAAGAAGTGGACACGAAAGCATTTTTGTAGGTCATATCCGGGGAAAAGAGGACATATGGTCATTGGTCACCCTAATTTATAATCTATTGCTAATCGATGTATTCTTTTTAAAGTAGCATATGAAACATATTTTCTGCCTCATTCTTTGACAAGAAGCCTCATCAGATCACAAAAGGAAGCATTTGACTGGTGTTGTGGAGTAAAAAGGTTATAATGTTCTCTTTTGTTGGACAACAGGTTTAGAAATGTGAATACAAGGGAGATTTAGCTTTAGGCATTTTAATTTAAGCATGTTTAGCTTAGTTAACGGAAGGCTACCTGCTGCCATCAAGTGTAATTACTGCATTGACGCACTCCTCGGATGCTCTCATTTCCCGAGTTGTGCTTTTAAGTCAGAATGTGAAAACAACATGGACACGCTCGTTACTACAAAGATGTGTTGAATTTGTATTATTAGAGCTTTCCGACTTGAGTTCACGTGCATTTTCTCAGTTGGGAAATTATTATTTTTCACGTGCAGTGCCAGTGATGATGCTTCTTACGTTCATTTCGGAGAACCTGAGGACAAATATTTCAATCGATCGCTCAGGCATGGCACCAAAATGAGGCACCAAAATCTGCGTTCAGATTCGGTTCTAGTACATACCGGTACCCAACCCTAGTGATCATGTAAGAAATACTGCTGCTGCACATATAACATATATGAGATAACCCCAATAGCATACATGAATCACCCCATAGCAGATCTATACAGGTGGAGCTGGGGAAGGTGGAGGATTTCTGAAGTGTGCTGCACCTGCTACAGCACTTGGCACTAGCCAAGTATTTGAATGTTGAGCAGCAAGCTCATTGGCTGCTGATGCAAAAAGAACCAATCAGCTGCGTATTGTTGTCAAAAGTACCGGCTTCGGTACCAGTGGGTACTGAAATTTTAAAACATCCATTTCCGTCTAGCATTAGTGCTCTGTTGAGTGGATTCTTAAACACCGCTGATTGGCCATTGTGTTCACACGCTCAACATATACGTCTGCTACAATGATCATCGCTTCACGCTTTTCACAAAGCACTCACACAGAAGCACACAGGAGCATTTGAAAGCAGGCGTCTGTCAGCAGATCCTCAAATGCTAGCAGGAAATTGACATTTTTTAAAATTTCAGTACTGACTGGTACCGAAGTCTGTACTTTTGACAAAACTACAGCTGCGCCATGTGATGACGTCACTATGTCAGATTGATTTTGACCTATCTGACTGCGCCATCTAGAATTTCATGCCAGAACTTTGGATTAATTTGGTGTTATCATGGAATCCCCTATTTGGAGTGGTTAGCTAAGCCCAGGCCTGGTTCTGTGGAGGTGTGATAGAGGGTGAAAGCAAAGCGAAACGAAAGCAAAAGCACCCACAGTTGAAGGTCTGGCAATCCAGTGTGCATTTGTGTTTGCGCTCTCTAAAAAACATCCAAATTTCTATTTCAACATATTTTTGCTGCGTTGAGCAATGTAGCCAATCACAGGCATTTCTGTTGATTTCTTGAATGCAACGGCCAATCAGAGGTGTTTAAGTTGGTCAGAATTCACTCACTGCTGAAAACACCAGAGTTTTTGTTCAGTGCAGAATATATGTGAAAATAGATGTACATTAAGGCTAGAGTGATTTAATTCTGGAATGGGGACAGGCCAAACCTCCACAGACAGCATGCGTTCAGAGCGAGATCCAGTTCAAACTTTGAGATTGGGCCATATCAACCAGTAAATTCATTTCCAGTAAAACTACGGTAGGAAGTTCAGCCTCTTTAAGTTATTTTTGACTGTGCTGTTACTATTAACTGCTTTGACGCCATGCAGTGAGGTAGGACGTTGTTTTGATACTTATACGTAATAATTTCAAGCAAATTTAAAAAGTTTTCTGCCTTTTTTTTTTTTTGCAATTTTTTTCTTCCCCCCCCTCACTCGAGTTAAACGTTGCCTATGCTCAGAAGCTTTGGTATTTCACAATACCTGTCATTTAAGCCCTAATCATTAAAGAACAAAGGTGCAGGATATAGATAAACTGTGTGTATTAGTTTTTATTATTATAATAAATTGTAATAAGCATGAAAGGAATGCTTTAAGCATTCTTTTGAGCCACAGAGATTTACAAAGCAATGTGTAATATGAAAATCCCAGAAGAGCTTGTTTTTTAACTGTGAAGGAGCAGGAGCTGTGTGTGTGTGTGTGTGTGTTTATGCTGGTAGGCCAACTGTGAAATTTTCCCTGTACATTCTTGATAAGTTCACTTTAAGACGCCTGTCTTTCTCATTTAAGGAAATACAAGGAAATCCTCCGCGTTGGATGTGAGGTCCTTGGGTGTTATCTGGCCGGAAAGCTGAGAGCAATTTGGGTGTAATTTCTAAAACCGCAATCTCTGTAAATGCAACAGAGCGAGGAATTATGGAAGCGTGTCTTGCTGTATGCATGGCGCGTGGACATTAAAAATGATTAAATAATTAACTGCTCAGAGAAGACTCTTCAAAAAGAACCAATGAACATTAGAATCCTCAAATGGGACAATAACAACGATAAGAATGTTGGTAATTGCATTTAGAGAACTTTCTATATGAGTCGCGGCTTGTCGTAATGAAATTGCATCATTCGGACGATGCCGCTATTTTAAAAAGTATTTTTGTGAAACTGAAGCTAACCTTTTGAACAGGAAGCGTTTTATCACAGATCAGACCCAGCATCGCAGTTCGATAACAAGGTACACTGAAAAGGTACATTGATGCCACATCTGGCAGGGACATGGTGAGGCGGGGAGGTTGACTCTGAGGTGTTCAGAGAAAAGAGTCAGTGTTTCATTTTCAGTTGGACCGTGCTGAAAAGAAAAGGGCAACCCTCTCAGCAGAAACCGCACTACAGATGCCAGTCATTTAAGAGCTGCTCAAGTGTGTCATCTCATTCCAATAAAAAGCCCAAAGGTTACTGTCCCAGCCCCCTCCTGTCTCTCTAACACTCTCCCCATCTATTTTTTTTCTTTTCACAATCACCCTTTGTCCATTAAGTTAATGGACCCATCGTGATGTAGCACACATTTCCAGTTCTCCAGTGTTGACAGATATTCTGGGTGATGATGGAAGTGTTTGATTGTGCATCTAAAGTGTACAACTCAATACTTTCGCACTTGTAGACCACTTTCAGTGCTCCAATTCTCCTAAAGTAAACTTCTTAACAAGATAAGCCAGTAAAGAATAATGGAGGAAATATCAGCAGGCTTAGATGGGGATCCCCTCCTTAAAGAGAAAGAAGCCTTTGTGAACATGGCTTCTTAATCAATTCCTACTGCCACTGATACAGAATCTTAAAAGGAAAAGGCTCTCAGAATTGTGTTGTAATTTAAAAAATTTTAAAATTATATATATACAGTGGGTACGGAAAGTATTCAGACCCCCTTAAATTTTTCACTCTTTGTTATATTGTAGCCATTTGCTAAAATCATGTAAGTACATTTTTTTTCCTCATTAATGTACACACAGCACCCCATATTGACAGAAAAACACAGAATTGTTGACATTTTTGCAGATTTATTAAAAAAGAAAAACTGAAATATCACATGGTCCTAAGTACAGAGACAGAAGAGATCAGTGGTTCTTGTGGGAATGAATTCAGATGAGAGGAAAGCTTCATTAGACTCGGGCATAATTGATAATTACCGTGTATGCGTAAATACATCTTGTGGGCCAGCGTGGCTATAATTTATCTGCCTTCCCATAATGCCTCCCAGAGGAACTATTCCAGAAGAAAGAGTGATTTCAAAGAGATCATGAAACCAAAAATTAACTTTTCAGTTAATTTTTTTTCAGTTAATCCCAAAACAAGATATTAGGAAAAGTGTCTCTCTAGTGTCTCTCTTTTTTTTGTTAAAGGGTTTTTTAGTAGGGTCAGTGTTGTTTATACCCCAGTGCTCTTCAAAATATATTTTTACGTGTTTAGTGGAAAAAAGTCGGTCATGCTGTTTTGGAATGACATGAGGTTTTGTAAATGATAATAGAATGTTCATCTTTGGGCGAGCTAACCCTTTAAGACCTTCCATATTTGAATCGCTCTGAACACATTGGCTTAGATGAATACACATTGATCCTTCATCACCATTATCTTCTCAATGAGTGCTGCAGACATATTGAATAGATATTGAAGACTATCTTGGCTTTATTGCAAATCATATTTCAGGTGGCTAATCGTTTATGGCTTTTATCTTCAAGAGCTGTACGTCATGTTGTTTGCGACATGTGTTGCCACAAAAGCAGTAATGGAAGCATAATTGGCTATTGAAAACAAAGAAATTATGAGATGAGAAATAACAATGGGAAATGAACCACTGCATGTATCCTGCCTATAAACAGCTTGAGAAAAATAGCCTGACAACTGGATACTGAAAGGTCTTGGGTAGAGGAGCCAAACTAGGTTTGAAATTATTAAATGTTCTAGATTCTAGAAAATATAGACAAGTGCTTCTTTGACTTTGCACATACACGCATAGCATGTTTCAACTGTAATGCATTGATCAGAGTAGCGTGTGATTTCTGTGTTGTGATGAAATTGAACAAAAAGCTTTGTTTTAACTTGTTCCTCTTGACTGAATCCTCCATTTGAGATGTAGCGTGGGTCTGAGGCAATCATCAGCTCGCTGAACCGAACGGACGCACCAGTTCTCTTTCCGTCCTGACCGGGAGACACGGACGTCTTCTGATGACAGTGCTCTGTGGACGCTTGTCCTGACCGCTCTGACGTGTTGATAGGCTTTCTAAAGATAGAAAGCACCCCCATGATAAATACTCCCAATCGACTGAACTCCGCAGCTGATGGACCTGAAAGCATTTTTATGCAATTTACTGTTCTATTGCTGCACTGCAGAGGCTAAAAGACGAGGGCTGCGAAGTGAATAAGCCCAAAGAGCAAATGAGCACTCTTTGATGCGTGAGGGGAGCAAATGGGTTTCAGATAATCACCTGAAGCTGAAATCAACATCAGTTTCTGCAAGAAACCAGCAGCTTGACTAAAGGAGTGGTGATCATGACTATTGATTAATTAAACAAAAAGTGCATTAACAAGTGAATTAAACAAGTGCATTAAAGGAATAATTCACCCATGCATCCAAGATGTAGATGAGTTTCTTCGTTAGAACAGATTTGGAGAAATTTAGCATCACTTGCTCACCAATGGATCCTCTGCAGTGACTGGGTGCCGTCAGAATGAGAGTTCAAACAGCTGATAAAAACATCACAATAATCCACAAGTCATCTTGTGGATTATTATCATTAAAGAAATAGTTCACCCAAAAATGAAATATATTGACTCCTTTCATTCTAAAGTCTATTAATTCTGTAATTTATTTAAGTAAAGCATAAATGCAGAGAAAAAGAAAAGATTTTCAGTACAAGGATGGTTCGTATTGAACATTGCTGTGAAGATCCAAAAGGGATCACATAAAAATAAATAAAAGAACATCATATAAGCAGTCCTTATGCCAAAAAATGTTTGTAAACTATTTGGTGGAAGCAAAGAATTATGTTTACATTTATTTCAACTGAGTTTAACAAGTGAATCAGTCATGCATTTCTCTTTCTGCTTCCTATGTCTGCGTAAGGAATTCCTCTCAGAAACTTGCAAAAAATGTAATGAGACTATTCAGATAAAATTCATATGAGTGGCTGACCTGTGATCCGAGAGGCAGTCTATTAACTGGCTTACTAAA